GATGATCTAACCCCTTGTAATCAGCCTGGAGATTCACGGATCACATGGAAGGAAGAAATATCCGAGACTGAAGTTCAAAGCTGTACAATAGGCAAAGGTGGCTCTTGCCCTGGAGCTGATGGAATCTCCACAGAACTCCTTGCAGCCTCCTGGAGCTATGTTAGAGCCCATGTCACGCACCTTTTCCGCGCGTGCATGCATTTCGGACATCACCCTTCCTGCTTCAAGCTAGCAGAAGTTGTTTTCCTTCCCAAATCAGGTAGGGACCCTTCATCCGCGAAAGGGTGGAGGCCTATCGCACTCCTGTCGTGTTTAGGAAAGGGGTTGGAAAGAATCATGGCTAAGAGAATGTCACATTGTGCCGTGGTCTCAAATGTTGTAGGCCCACAACAGTTTGGGGCTCTACCTAAACGTTCGGCAACAGATCTCGTCTCATGTGTAGTGTATGATATAGAAGAGGCCCGGACACAGGGCTGGGCGGCAACCTTTGTCACGTTAGATGTGCAGGGGGCCTTTGATGCTGTCCTACATAATCGGCTCATATGGCGGATGCAAGCTCAAGGCTGGCCCGATTCAGTTCTCCGGTGGACTACATCTTTCCTCAAAAATCGAAGCGTGCAAGTACGCTACCCGGGAGGGATTACAAGCCCTAGGAAACTGATATACGGTGTGCCGCAGGGCTCCCTAATTTCGCCGATTCTATTCTTACTCTATATGGCAGAGCCTATGCACGGTGGAAATCCTAGAGCACGTTTCAGCTACGCCGGTGATATTGGGATTTTAGGAATCGGCCGAACTGTTGCAGAATCAGCTGCTTTGGCACAGCAGGAGGTGAACAAACCAGTAGATTGGGCGGAGAAAAATGCCATATCCTTTGTAACTGTGAAGTCGGAAGTCGTTCAGTTCCCTGGAAGCCACCTTGAGAATTCAGTGGGAATTCATATAAACGACACGTTCATAGAGCCAGCCGAGTACATTCGATGGTTAGGAGTCTATCTCGACAAGAAACTATCATTTAAAAATCATGTGGAAATATGGAGTGGGAAAGCACTTCAGGTGGTTCAACTTCTGCGACGAATAAACTCAGTCAAGCAGGGGGCAGCCCCTGGACTATTAATGACTGCGGTGGAAGCGTGCGTGATTCCAATAGCGACATATGGCGCAGATGTGTGGTGGCCCGGTTTGTCACGACCCCAAAGATGGGGTCTCGTGATTCCCCAGACGACGCATCTATGCAAGCTGATTGACAGGGCCTTAATTCTAGCCTTAAGAGCAGCACTTCCGGTGTGGAAGACTATACCCATCGCTGCGCTTCACAGAGAAGGAGGCGTTTCACCAGCCCGGATCCTCTTAGAATGCAACCGCCTAAGGCTTTCTGTAAGGTTGCAATCCCTCGATGATCGTCATCCCCTACTTATTCGTGCAAGGATGTGCCCAAATGAGGGAACAATTAAAAACAAGAGGCGGAAAAAGCTATCTTCGCGACCCGATACCCAGATGTCCCACGTCCAACGGGCTTATTGCCAACTACCTCAAGCGGAGGATGCTGAACCATTTCCTGGGACAGCATATTGGAGAAATCCTGGATCAAAGTTGGAAGGAGTGGAGGATTATCAAAAATGGATCAGGACGGTCCCTCCTTCTGAAATTTGTGTTTATTCAGATGGGTCCTCAGAAGGTCACGGTCGATCAGCATGGGGCTATGTGCTTCAAAGAGGAGGAATTACCTTCAAGAAGGAACGGGGGTCGCTGCTCGGATGCGAAACTTTCGACGCCGAGATTGTCGGGGCAATAGGCGCGCTGCGAGACAAGGGGAGGAAAAGATAACCGTGCTACTCGACAACCAAGCAGCTGTTAGAGCATCGCAGACTGGAAATTCGTCCTCTACCTGCCGCTTAATTCGCATCTTTCATGATGCTGTGCAAAGATCCAACGCAGAAATCAGATGGGTCCCAGGACACTCAAACATAGAGGGGAACGTGGAGGCTGACAAAGAAGCTCGGGCCGCACTAAAATTACTTCTGGACAGCCAGAAACAACCTAGCTATATCAGTCTTGCTTACCTTCGACGTCTTATGCAAAATCGACGTCAGGAATTGATAGATAAATGGTGGTCAACTGCTTGTCCAGCTCAATACCAAGGCTTGGACCTGCAAATGCGACGACGTAAACCCCCAGAACTATCGTTGCCACGGGGATTACTACACGAACTCATTGCTGCGAGAACAGGGCATGGGGATTTTGCGGCGTATCACCGTCGCTTCAAGCACGAAGATGCAAATCTAGTTTGTAGCTGTGGGCTAGAAAAGACGCCCATTCACTTCACACGCTGTCGGAGATACAATATTCTGACGCGTAAACTTAGAAAAGACTTGAGCTTAGATGCTTTTACCAGGCAACTCCTCGGACATAAAGGGTTAGAGAAGTTTAAAATTTTTGCATGGGTTACAGGCTGCTTCGGTAGGCTGGACGCATCCTAGTTCTGGGCTGAATGCAAGGCGGGTTTTAGGATGAATGCCAGGGCAAATAAGCTGGCGGAGGAGAGCTCAGGATGAGGATTGCTGACTCAAAACCATTGACTATTTATTTTGTTTATTTCTTTTCTTTTTCTTCACTACATTATTAATTTAACGAGCGCATGATTTATTAGCTCTAAAATGGGTGTGAACGAGTAGGGCAAGCCTAAAGGTTAAATCTCGGCCGGCTCTACCGGTCTTACATCTAAATAGATTGAAGGTTACGGCCTGAGTTACGCCCTCAGGGCTCCAAACATGCAATGAGCAAGGCAGTGTAGGTGCTTGAACATAAAACACCTACACGTGACATGAATGCCAATCTAGTCTTGGCATTACTCAGCAAGCACCCACACCTCATGTATATAGAGCTCGCTGTAGTTACTCCTATTTCTCCTTCCATAGCCAATATATCTTACATTCCCAAGGCTGCCTCTCTACCATTTTCATATCTCGTGATTGCCTGGGACTTAAAACCAAAATAAATAAATTGTCAGAGTCCAGCGACAGTTCCTTTTCTCCTTTGTAGACAATCTAACTCACCGGATCTGACATTTTCGATCTAGCATTTATCCCATATAGTGACATTACACACCGCTTATATGTCGCAAGAAGTGGACTAGATGACAAGCTTGTCCAGTCCATTCCTGTACATGCTGCTTGAAGTTAAGCTGAGTGTCAAACCAGACTTTGCCACCGTATATCAGGCGACAGTTCGATCTGGTGACCTTTCACCTAGATAGAAAGGTTAGCCGAGTTGATTTTCATCCTGGGTCCTCCTCCAGTTACTGTAAGGTCTGACTTTGACAGGTCAAATTCGATCCTATGTTCTCTGGCGAGAAGAATAACACTGTCGAGATTTTCTTGGACTGCGCCAATAACTTCCGCCGCAGTTTATAGTCATAGATTCAATAGGGCCTTATATTTAATTCTATTCTATGCCACCCTGGTTTGTTATTAAATATCAGTCACGAGGGTGAGCCCTGGTGAATATGGGATAAGTCTGTTAAAGTTATGAGCTTGAGCGAAGATGGAGGTTGTAGCGAAATCAGCGTCGGCGGTTAGACCGATGCAGTAAGTCTTGCATGAGGTTGTGAGAGGAAGATCCGAGTGGAAACAACTGTATTTAAATGTATGGTTCAGAGTAAAACCGAGATGATAAGAGTGAGATTGCGTGTTTGCATATCTTATCAACTGTGGTTTTTGACCAGGGTGGGTTTCGATCGATCACAATTGAAACAGGATGGTGACAAATATAACTCTTGGCTCTACTACAGCTAGTTCCGCAGAATGCAATAGTTAAGCTTGAGTTCTAATAAATTTGTCTATCTTTCCTCCTAATTCCCAACTCCGAAATCTACACCTTGTGCGTAGCTTACTAATTATAGGCTAACCGCATTTAGTAGTCTATGTTACATAACGTAGCCTGCTACGTTTAGGATCCACACCAGTATTTATCAATCTCCATGGATCGTAAGTTATGATCCCTGTAGATGTAGATCTATGTACATACACGTATATGGGCCAGGAATATAAAGCTAAATACATGTGTATCAGTAATAGATACGAGAAAACAATAACCTGCATTTGAGACATAGTCATCCGCTGGAATTCTAGTATGAAATAAACGCTAATACGCATTTAATTTTCGGTGAAGGATGTATTGATAACAGTGATATAGAATGGGAAATTTGATAGTCAAATTAGCCGGACTTACTAATAAGTTATTCTTGGCATTCCAAGATATATCACATTTCAACAAAGTCGCTGTCGAAAAACGAATCTTTAACAGCCGCCCAGCGCGAATTTTACTGAAAAACACGAGGCTTCATTTATGAATGCACTTCACATTTATTGTTCACAATTATGGGTCCAAAAATGAATATATATTTTATCTAAGGGGAGAATATTTATGACGCGCGCGCAAGATGTTTTGTTCCAATCGAGCGCGTTTTCCCGTGACACTAGCGCGCTTTTGTTCATAGACGGAGCCGGATAGTTCCGGATCCTCATACAAGGCTACAGCCTGTAACATCATTAGTGTCAAAGCAAGTTGGGAGGTTTTCAGGTCGAAGCAAAATTCAAACGTCTAAAGAGATGTTTGTTGATATTATCACTAATGCGTTCCCACACCAGAGATGACATCAATTGCGGAATTTAGATTCTAAGAAGTTCCATCATTCTATTTTCTCAACAGCTACCGTCTACTCCTTGTGGTGAGAGATATATATCAGTTTTGGTCAGGTTTTGTATTACGAAACTACTATTATCTGCTCTTTATCCCGTATTTTATCAACCCTCTAATTTCTTAATGTACAAATTTAGCTTAACTAGGCTGGCTATAAATTTAATCTGATCTAGAACCAGCACTAAAATAAAATGATTTCCAAGGCGATGTAAACCTTCGCTATGGGACGCAAGAAGTTTCGAACAGCATGAAGTTTTGAAGACACACATTTTGCGCAAGAAATGAAGTCGACATATGACCTAAGTTGTTAGACTTTCTAGGAGACCAGCCTCCATGACTAGACTCCGAAATAATCCATCCTTCTTCTCTAAGAGTTTTTTTGGTGTGTCAAATTCTAAGACTCGTCCAGAATCCAACACAATTATACGATCGCTATCTAAGATAGTATTGATTCGATGAGCTATAGTGATGATAGTCCGCTTACTGAACATTGGACTTCGTAAAGTTGCCTGAAGTAGGGCGTCTGTTTCCACATCGACGGCAGCCGTGGCTTCGTCAAGGACGAGTATATTTGATGGCGCTAGCAAAGCGCGAGCCAAGGAGACAAGTTGACGCTGGCCTTGAGAGAGGTTACTTCCCCTAAATGATGCAAATTGCTGTTAGTAATCAAGTATTTATGAGAGACAAAAATCATGCAAGTTTTTGTATAAATTATAATGGATTGCGCGTGCAATCAGTATAATTCATGGACTTATGATTGAATATTGCCATAAGATTTTCAATAGAACGATGGAAAAGAGAACATACCCTTCTTGTATTTTGGCTTCGAGACTACCTTCCAAACTGGCAATGTGATCTTTCAGTCTGGCGTGATCTATTACTGAAGTTAGACAAAATCTTGACTGCAATACTTATTGCAACACTGAAAGGTTCTTCAATTAAAAATATACATACCAAGAACGCTCCACAATTCTGTATCATCGTGAATATGTCCTGGATCAAGGTTATCTCTTACTGTCCCTTCAAAGAGAGCTGCGTCTTGGGGAATAATAGCCAAGCGACGCCTAAGGTCAAGGAGACCAATAGTAGAAGTGTTCAGCTCGTCTAAAGCTATATTTCCTTCACTCGGTTCGATAATGCGGAAAAGAGCTAGGGTTAGCGAGCTTTTCCCAGCTCCAGTGCGGCCAACGACACCAATTTTTTCGTGAGGTTTGATATCAACGTTAATGTCTTTGAGAACAAGGTCTAGGCCCTCACGGTATCTAGTGCTGAAGTTCTTGAATTGTACTGCGCCTGAAGCGGGCCAGCTGACTGGAGGCCGATGGCGGTGAATCACTTCGGGTGCCTCGCTTGGTAATCTTCCGTATTCTAGGATCCTTTCAACAGAAACAATATTTGTTTCAACTTCGACTGTCTGACGTACAATCCAATTAAGCGATTGTGTAATCTGAAGGGCATAAGACATGGCTAGACCGACCATTCCGTCCGTCAATCTATTACCTGAAACAACAGAAAATATAGAGAAACTTGCAGCGCTAAAAATAATTATGGACCCGATTGATTCGAGGCGTACGGCAAGCCATCTATTACTATTAGTGCTAGATTGAAGTCTCCAGAAGCGTTTCGTACCTATTTGCGTTGATTGAGGGATAGTAAGCTCGAAGATTTGCATCGACCCTATATTCATTCTCTTGAGCGAATCGTTCTTGTTGGCGATAGGCCCGAATTGTTGAGATACCACCGAGAGATTCCTGGAAGTGTGCGTAAATCGGGCTTCTACTTACACTGTCGAGTCTTTTTAGCTCTCGAGATGTCCGGAGGTAGTATCGCTGAATCCAATAGTAGACAAATGATAATGGTATAACCAAGGCGACAAAGCCTGGTGTGCTCGATGAAATAACAGCAAGGGTGAATAGGGCCCTCGCGGTATTGACAAATAACATATTAAACGTCCTGGCGAGTACCTGAGTAAATTTAGTTATGTATTAAAAGATTCAAGTTATTGCGATTACCTCGTCTACGCGATAAATATCGCTGTAAAGTACTTTGCGTCAGCAACTGAGTTTGAATAAGTGGTAAGGGAAGTTTAGTAAAGGAAGCAAGCAGCGAATTAAAAACATGGGGGCATAGACCGAATGGGTTGATATGGTTAAACATGATACGAGTAGACGTAAAAATGGAATGGAATATATTGGAGCCACAAGGCACATTATGTTTATTGATTGGACAGTAGTTTTGGTTGAAACTAACCTTGAGAATCGGTTAAGAATACGTCCTGCAGGAGTGCTGTTGAGGCGTGAGTAAAAGTCAATCCGACACAATATTTAGGACTTACGTCTCAAAGAAGCTCATTGGTGACCTAAAAATCGCAAAGGCCATTCTTTCATGAAGTTTTCTTGAAGCCTGTAATTCAAAAATTTTTAGAGCTCATATTAGGATACGGTGAGCTAGCGAACTTACCTCGATGGAGCAGAAGATCCAAAGGATTAGTGTCTGCACAACTACTAACATCGCACCAGTGATTCCGAGCGTAAAATAAACACCAATGTATTTTCCAACGTTCGAATTAGTTCGTTGCTCATCATTAGTTTCAGCCCATTTTTTGAGCCAGAAGTTGCCCGCTGTTCTTGGTTAGTTTCTCCGTTTCAAAGATATAACAGACTTCTCTGTCATGCCCGCATTATATCTTAGGTGCAAGACTTGGAAGAATATTGAGCTTACCGATCTGTGCCGTCTGTCCCCCAATCAACATGAGACCATACGTGCACACTGCATATAAATTACTCGTCTTTGCGTACTCGGTATAGACTTCAAAATACTATCAGCAAAAGATCGTTGGAGGATATATTAAATGTCTCCCTACCATCCCATTTGACCTTCCCTTGCTCCGTAAACTCTCTATTCTGTTTGATTATCTTGTTACTTTCTTCATCCTGAATTTTCCCACGTTGCGCTTTGACGCTTGCGTTACTAGCTTGTCCTAATGTTGATGCACTTCCTTTGCGTCTTTTGAAGTTAGACCGAGTTGCCTGAAGACCTGATTTTTGCCCATAAAATTGACAAGTTTTATCATCATCGTCATTATCATCAGAAACAACGGTTGATGTTATATTAGAGGACTGTTCCGAAGATTGTCTCGAATTCTCGTGGTTCCCAGATGCCTTAATAAGGCTCGATATTTCACCTTTCATGGCCATCAGTTGATCATAAGTACCACGCTCTATCATTCTGCCCTCACGAAGAAGGTAAATAAAGTCTGCTTCCATTAAGACAGGAATTGAATTCGTAGCCAGTATTTTCGTGCGGCCGCTTAGTAGTCCACTTGGTCCGAGAACATTATCTATCAATTGCCTACCAACATGTTGATCAACAGCTGATAAACAATCATCAAGCAAATATATGTCAGCCCTAGCGTAAACAGCCCTGGCCAGAGTGAGACGAGCCTTTTGTCCGCCACTCAGTGAGATACCTCTCTCTCCCACTAGCGTGTCGTCGCCATCAGGTAGTTGGGCAAAATCTTTCACGAGAGCGCATGCATTAATCGTTTTTTCATAAAAGTCTTGATCTAATCGATGACCAAAGAGGATATTTTCTTTCACCGTAGCATTCATAATCCAAGATTGTTGGGCTACGTATGCTGTCTTTCCGTATAAAACAACTTCTCCCTTGACTTTCCACAGATCTCCGAGGAGGGCTTGAAGGAGCGATGATTTTCCTGCTCCAACTCGACCAACAATGCAAGTGAGCTCGCCTTTAGACGCTGTAAAATTGATATCCTCGAGTACATGACGATCAGAATGCCTGTCCCAGGAAAATGAGCCGTCACGAACTGATACTGATTCTTCGCCGTTTTCTTCTATTGCGTCACGGATAATGACTGCATCACTCTGTAGCTCTTCAGTGGTGAGAAATTCAGTAAGTCGGCCAACAGCTACAGACGCTTCGATGATAGAAGTTATGACCATAGGAAGCATCGCCAAGGGAAATGTTAACAAATTAAACAGGGTCAAGGCCGGGAAAACCAAGTCTGTGGTCAAAGGTCTATCAGAAGTGAGTACGAACACAGTAAAGGTTGCGCAAGAAACTAGAAAGGGTGTCGTTGACCAGGTAAAGTTAGCAACTGCCTGAGCAGCACCAATTTTCCTCAAAATCTTAAGTTCCTGATCATTTCGGATAAAGTTTAGTTTCTGCATAAAAGCACTACCCCAAGCGTAAAGCTTTATACTTTTCATATTGTTGATGATCTCTGCTATCAGCCTAGTACGTGAATCCTGATGAGCGTTAGCACCGAATATCCACGCCTATGGGAACACTTACCTTGTTTTTCATTTGTTTCTTCTGCAGAGTCTTCATCATTCTGGAGATGAGCCAATTAATGGGGATCATCATAATCATGGTACTGAGACCAGCAAACATGCTTAGCCCAACTAAATTATATATACTGATACTACAAAGTATAATTTGAAATGGTGCACTCCAGATTTGTTGGCCATACTGTGTAAGATCTTCGAGTCTCTGTGTATCGACAGCCATGTAGTTGACAATATCTCCAGTGTTTTTACTTGCGCGGCCTTCATTTGAGAGCCTTAAGCTTTTGCTGTAAATGGCGGAAGTCAAAGCAGACTTGATCCGCATCCCAGTTCCAAATGCTCTTTGAAAGTACTGGTGTAAAGCAATCGTTTGTCCAATGCTTACAGCAAACATTGCAAAAGCGATTGCTGCACCGCGAACAACAGGCTGTGGCGCTTCTGTATTATCTTCGCGATAGGACTTAACAAAAGCAATTAATAACCTTAATAATTGTGGCTGTATAAACGCCAGGGAATCCGATACTACCTTGAACAAAGCTCCTCTAAGGTATGGTCCACAGAAAGCGCGAATGATAGATCGCCATAGGCTAGGCTTTTTTTTCCTGAGCTCGTGTTTCCAAGCGCGTTGAAATGCATCCCCTGTTGCCCGAGCAGTGTCTCTACGGGCTAGATTCCAAAGATCATCCTCTGTCAGGAATTTGGAATAGCCAGCCCGCATCAAAGGCGTCATCCAGCTGAAGGTAAGAATGCTGAAAACCGTTGCATACTCAACTGGGCATTCGTCTTCGTCTCCGATCTGATGGTATGCACTTTTTTTCTTAGGTACTAGCCATTCCAGCCCGAACTCAATGCAGCTCAATACGTAGCCCACACAGTATGCCGTGAAATAAGAGGTTGAATGTGCGTATACTTTTTGGCTGATCAAGGAACGTAACTTAACGGAATAAGCTATAATGAGCAGGAGCCAGTAGAATAGGACGACGCCATTTGGATTACGTAGTCGCGTATGTTCAAGCCATTGATTTGTGAAAATAACTATTAAGCTTGCTATGGTGAACACACTAGTCCATACCCGAAAATCGCCGAGCCAGATATCAGTGTCTGTAATTGACTGACATACCAGCTGAAATAATATTGAAAATCCTATTGCGATGATAATAATCTAGTAGAAAAATGTCAGTGTACCCAGCGAAATGACCGCTGCAGTTGTCCCGTAATGGATTGAATTCACTCACTTGTTTGGTCCAAAAATGCCAATCCTTTTGGACTTCTTTCGTTTCTTTCCTGTTATAAAGCCAAAATACTGCCAAGGCACCGAATGAGATGCCATAAATTGCGACAATGCCTACCCACACATCCATAAAACATGGAGTAAAATCATATCGATAGGGAGATAATGGGCCCCAGCCTTCCAAGTTCCCACAAAATGAATGTTCAACATTAAAGGTACTAGAAAGATAGTGACTGCCGAGTTCGCCATCTGAAGCACGATAGCCAGTGAGAGAGCCCGTTTCGTAGAGAAGCTGCTGAGCAGACGCGTCCAGAGCCATAGCTATTCAAATTTCGATGAGCCTGACCCTTCTGTTGGACGCGTCAAAGAATTAACAGCAGTGGAACTGTTCGAGGAGATCTGATTCAAAGAATGTGGACAAAATAATGTGTTGTATTTGAAGATTTAGAGTAGGAGAGGATGGCAGGGTCAAACGGAAATTCTAGCACGGGCTTAAGCTGTCCTAAAAATTTTGATATGGAATCTACGATTTAAAATTCTCGCCTCGACTAGCCCCTGCACCATCTTCGATTTTCGTGATATGGACCATGGAGCTTTATGTTTTTTTTTGAATCAGATTTTAATTGCGTATGCAGCTATTTAGCTATGACATAATATCAGAGAATTGTATAATAAATGACTCAATTTAATAGCAGGGAGCTTAATGCTGAAAGGGTCTTTACCCACATGAGATCTAGCGAAAAAATATGGAGAATGCTGGCGCATCAATAGTAATTATTTTAATCTCGTGCCTTCTCGTTGTGCCGGCAATTAATTAGACTTCTACATCGAGGCAAGACTTGAATTTGCCGTGGGCACACCCACAAACATGCATGTCTAGCTGGGCAACCGGTAAATTGAACGGACGATAATTAACCTTATTGTATAAGAGAGACATTGACCCGACTAATCTCCGCATCTGTAACAAGGTATGAGTACGATTATAGAGTGGCTTGCCCAGCGTCACGGCGTGTGAATGAGTATGAACGATTAAAATAAAGCGCGCCCATCTCTCGGGAAGCTGTAATCGCCCACTTAATCTCAGCCTGGAGGCTCTCTACATTGCGCTAAAATCCTTGAGATAATCAACTACTTAATTGGCATGGGAAAGCAAGCCCTATTCCAATCTGAGGAGTGGTTAAAAACGTCCGTGCGTAGTTGTTCCCGACTTAAGAGCTGTTGGTAAACATCATCACTATCGTTTTCTTCGTATTCTAATTGCGGGTCGGCTGGTGCGGTAGTAAATTGCCGCAACTGCCATCCCAATTAGCGTGTAGATAGTCTGCGTACCCATTCCCTCCTGAATAATTAGATCAGTGAGCCGGCTAAGATGAATTCTTCACCTTCCAGTGGACCCGGTGTAGTCGTTCAGTATGCTCTGCTTATCTGGAATAGCCAAGAAGAATCGCATCCCAATCGAAATCGAAAGCAAACACATGCATATCTCTATTTGACGACTTCTCGACAATGCCTCTCCTGTCATTCTCATTCTCATCTGAGTCCTCAACCTCTCTCTAACCACGCATCATCTCGCCTCGACGACCAATAAAGAAGTTGCTCCAATTGTATACAGAAGCTTGCCCCATCAATTTCCAGCAATCTCTCACTACATATTTACGACGATATTTATACCTACAAGGAGGAAATCTAGTCGAAAAATACAAAGCCTGGGTCCTGGCTTATGGGGAACTGTTGCTCTAATGGGACAAACATCTTGACGGAGAACAGACGGCTGAGGTGTGGAGCTAGAGGTGGGGGGAACAGGTCTCTGAAGACTTTGCTGGGACTGATATTTCAAGGAGTTTTCAACTTCGGAATGTTTGTGTGCGCCAAGACCGAGGTTTTAGCAAATTAGCCAGGAGGACTTCAATTGTCGATGAATCATCGGCACTCCCCAGCGTCCCGGACAGCACAAAACAAGACGGGCTAAGCTACCATACAGCAATCACGCTCTGTCAAGACTTTTCTGACATTTCACCACGACCTTCGGGAAGGAGTTGGAAGGGGGCTAGAAAGGCAGAGGGTGAATTTCCCGAGGTACCACAAATCTGCGGTATCCAGCTGGCCGGCCTCTCTGAAAGCTTCAGAAGGGTCATTATGTCTTCGGATTTTGTCCTAATTTTGGTATTAGAAGAGCTCCGCACCCAGTGGTTTTGCGTTTTTTCCCGGCTGCTATACACCCGCAAATGGCCATCGTTTCGTTGGCTGGAGAGGGGAGATAATGAAGGGTAAAGGGCTCCTCTAAGTGTATGATCGAATGAGGACTTGTGAGGGGTGGTACTGTTTGAGGGGAGCAGTATGGGAGGCATAGGAGGGGATATACTACTGGCATAGGTATCCTTGTCCTGTAGGCAGAGAGGACCTGCATGTCCTACATAGTCATAGACAGATATAACAATAAAATAAAAATAAAAAAAACTACCCGACGTGTATCACTTAATTATGTGCATGTAGTTTAGCTGTAACATATTGAAGAGAACATGCGTGGTGTGCCTTGTGCAGTAGTATGCCTGTAATCTAATCCACCAACAAGGTCCCAATCATGAGGGATTGTGTGTATGTGTTTATTGTCCTATAAAGTCTACGAATATGTAAGGACATGTAGGTCCTTTCTGTCTACTGGGCGGAAGTATCCATGCCTCGGGTAGTTTACTCCCTCATATGCCTCCTTCAAAATTTCTTCCCACCAGTAATACCCTCACAGGTCTTCATTCGAGTACACACAAAGAGGAGCCGTTATCCCGTCATTATCTTCCCTCTTTCGCCAACTAAACGATGGCTATTTGCAGGTGTGTAGCTGCTGGGAAAAGTCTCAAAAACCACTAGATGCGGAGCTCTCGTATGACGAAGAGCGTCTCTCAAACTTCCTCTTTCCCTGATTCATGCCGCAGGATAAGCCGAAGGTCGTCAAAGGATGTCAGAAAAGTCTTGGTCGAGAGTGATAGTCGTGAAGGAGCCTAGCCCAGCATCCAATAGTCCTTACGGACGTGGGATCGTCGGGTAACTCATGTATTTCAGATGTCCTCCTGACTAGTAGGTTCGGAAGTTAAGGTTAGTAGGACGATTATTTTGATGAGTCGAAATCTGCTTTTCTTGAGAGCGGAAGAGTCTTATACTTTGCTTTCGTGGGCTTTTTGTTTACCTGCCGGTAGATAGCATATGCTGTGATATAATGAGGGCTTCTTTGACTATCGTTGTAGAGCAGCTTGAGAAGGAAGGCAACTCTCGTAGGCAACTATCGCATTGGTGGTGTAAGTTGACGCTGGGGATCTAAGATTTCGAGACAGTACTATATATATACAGTGGGCAGATACGCACGTGCCAAGTGGCATGTGAGACCGGCGGTCTTGTCTTGTTCATTTACGTGCTAGGTAAAGTGACTACCGCTGCACTCCTGCTGGAGCTTAAGCATGGGTGGGACCGGGCTGGATCAGGTTAACTACCATTAAGTACATCAACCTCGTCCCACCTAAATGACCGGACCACCTTAGAATTCACCCATATGTTGAATCATGTCAAGCCCAACCGTCCAGAGAACCCCCTTTTGGCGCGCCGAAGCACAATTTCCTCCTCAGCCTCGGCCACCACGCGCCCGAGCCCTTGACACCTTCGCCATCTATAACTTTTGTTATAAAAATCTGAGTTCATAACTGCACACATCTTCAGGGGATAAATGTGCACCGGCAAAGTTAACCCCTTAGAGTCTGATAACTATTGCCTCCTGGTCGCTACACACTAACATCAACGTGTTCACTACAATGAGGACACCATTGCAGTTACTCTAGCTATCATAGACAATAACATGTAGAGGAATAAGGGTAGGAACTCCTGTATATAGATAGGGCCTTTTTACTCTCAGTATCTACATCAATCATCCACAAATATAATTCACTATCAATCAGTCATCTTACTCTGTCCAAGTGATCTATTGAATTCTCCCATACCTATCAGTATTCTATTCACAAGGTGACGTCTCCCTATCCATCGCCCTCAGCCTTTCAATAGGTTATGAGCCCGGGTTTGCCGCTCAAACTGCACCACTCATCTCATCAAGGGGTCGTTTTCTTCATTGGAGGGCTCATCCAGTAGCCCACCAAGGCTTCTTCAGTTTGTATTCCCTTTTCGTTCCTTCATACAGTATCCCTCTATCCTTCAGCCGATCTCATCATCCCAGAAACTTTGTTGAATGTCCAGCCCTTCGGCCTTGCCCCGTAGCTACCGTACCCCTAACGGTGGAGGTCGAAAACGCGACTGAGAGCTCAAGACCGAGGCACCGGTGCCCCAGCCTTTGTCAAACGCTCTAGTTGGTGTGCCGGCGAAATTTCGTCTGTGGCGATTCGTCGCAGGTCGAGTTATTGGTGCCCTTGGCCGAGGTGAGGACGCTTCTAAAGCCGGTATTTCGATCGTACCTTCACAGCGACTAGCAGTTGCGGAGGGTCGGGCATCTTCTTGCTTCTTTTTTGGTGATTTGATTTTTGGAGGTATGGGATGGCTTTCGTAAGTGGTGAGATGATTGTTGAGAGGGCCGCGAGGTGAGTTTGGCTGGGAATGATTTTCCAGAGAAAAAGAAAATAAGATCTTGAAGGTGTCGGTTGTTGTGATAAGAACATCAGACAGGTTATAGGCTGTCTGAGGTTCGTATCTGGGGTAAAGATGGTTGATTTCGTTGAGTTGTGCAGTCGTGAAATCTCTGCAAGTCGGATTTTCGACCAAAAATGAGCCAACACCACTCCTCCCGATCGCCAACTCGACGAAAACTCTCATATTCACCCTTCATCGTGACTGCATCTCGGCTCTGAGAAAATATTTCACTCCCAGGTTCGTAGAGGACACCACTGACAGGTGTTCAGCCTTCGTCCTCCTGTGAGACCGGCGGTGAAGCCACGGTCGTAACTTCAACACTCACCAGAATATTAAAAATTTTCTGCGGACACATCCTCGCACATAACTTGAATAGGAGTTAGAAGAATCTTTTCATAAAAATTCATACCTCTAATGCCGCCCGCGAGGCCGAAAACACCCTGCTTATTGCTGCGGGCGTCACCTACGCGCGTGGCAACTCGTGCGTCCTAACGCGCCCAAACTCGCTCCTCTCCCCCGACTATACGCGAAGAAGCGATAACAGCGGCTCTCCAGGAGGACATACCGAGCTACAGTCAGATCCTTGTTAAGACTATGTAATCCGGGCCGTGAAAAATATCGTCATATAGAAGATATCGTTTAAAAGGATGTGATCATCTAATCCAGCTGTCTAGGCTACTTTGTACTTTTGATGCCTCT